TCAACATTACAAGCATATAATTTAACTGAATCTCATCATCCAATTGTTATTCAAACATTTCATATTGAAGACTTATTATATATTCGAGAGAATTTAAATAGTCGATTACGTTTAATTGCTTTATTAACATGGAATCATTTAAATGAATCTTCAAGTAATTTTGATTTCTATCGAAGTGAAGAAGGTTTACAAAAGTTAAAAACATTTGTTCAAGCTATTGCACCAAATATGGAATTATTAGTTAATTTCGCTGCAGATGGATCGATTATTAATGTAACAAATTTGACTGTATTGGCTCATAAATATAATCTTGCTGTTTATCCATGGACATTTCGACATGATACATACAAAGGAAATTTCGAACAATTAATCAATTTTTTTCATCGAACAGTACAAGTCGATGGTTTTATTACAAGTCAACCGGATATAGTTATTGAACTATTAGAAAAAAAAATATGAAGTGCAAATATTTTATCTAATCTATCAATTACTCTCTATTGTTTACTAATTGTAATCATTTCTATTAATTAATAAAATATATGAGAAAAGAAGATAAGTTTGAATTTTGATGCATAACTCTTAGATTTACATGGTTTTGTAATATTGAACAGATGAAATTTAATCTAGTATGTATAATATGACTCGTCGTAATCGTCGGTAGTACAATGTGATCATTGGATATAACAAACTTCAATGAACAAGTAGCAGTACGTATAAATAATTCAGCTGAACGTCGATATATATCTTTTAGGATAAGCAAATAAACAAAAATAGAGATCGGAATTTCGATTCGTATAAGGTAGGAATTGAGAACAGAAGATTTCGGTAAAAGAGGTTTTTTTCCTTGTTTTTTAAGAAATAAATTAATCAGTGAGTGAGACATGAATAAACTGTAGGCTAATAAATAACTAAAAAAAGGCAAGTAATTCTATACAGTATTAGAAGCGTTTGATTTGATGATGAACGTGTGTATATATTTTTCAACTCTACAACTCATTTATATCGTTCAATCATATTGGAGATTGTACACATCTAAACTGAATATTTAATTATTCTTTATTATAATTGAACCCTCGTGACATAATAAATATATATTCTTATTTTCTTTTGTATACGTGCTTTTATCGAAATTATTCTTTCATATTATCGAACTGATTATTAAACGTGTAGATTTAAATCAATAATATAAATTATTCATTCTCTATTATAATATTAAGATAAAAACAAAAGAAATACACGGAAACAATCATATTAGAAATGATTGTTCAATTGGTAATACTGCTTCTTATTACTTCTTGTAAGTTAAATCTTTTTTAAAGATTGTAGAAATCTTTATCTAATACAATTATTTAGTAAAATCTGTTTCCGGTCAAGACGGTTTAACAGAATTAATTGATATTTATTCGGAAAATATTACTTTAGAATGGAAAGATCTTCCTATATCTGTATGTGAAATTTCAACAACCACAAGTACTTCATCTACAACTTCACCAATAAAATCTGAACTGCCATTATATAAATGTGCAGATGAAACATATATGGGTCTTTATTGTAATATTACCAATGATGTATGTGAACGATACCATCCATGTTATAACGAAGCTATTTGTTACTCAAATGGTACGATTGAATTACAATATAGTTGTGCATGTAAAACGAATGAATTTTCTGGTTATGATTGTGAAAATGACAATAGAATTTGTAAAAATAATACATGTTTGTAAGATAAGATTTTTCAAAAAAAACAAAAAGAATTAATTTTAATCTTTAGAAATGGTGGAACATGTTTTATTAGAAATATATCTATTGCTAATGAAACACCATATGTTTGTATATGTCCAGATGGATACACTGGAACACATTGCGAAACATTAATTGATATGTGTTTTAACATAACGTGTAAAAATAATGGTCTTTGTATACGATCTCGTTTATCATGGTCATGTCGATGTCTTAGTCCTACACTTTATTCTGGCACATATTGTGAAGAAATAAGTACAGCATTGGAAGTAAAACAAATTTTAAGTAAATCATTCGTATCAGTAGCTATTGCAGCAATAACTGGAGTATTTATATTTGTTGTTACAATGGATATATTAAAATATGTATTTAAAATTGATCCAGTCGATCGTGAACGACAAGCAATGAAGGAAAAACAAGAAAAAAAACAATTAGAAAAGAAGAAGAAGAAACAGAAGAAGAAACATAAATCTGTAAAAGTTTTACATGAACCTTCTTTAAAACAATGTCGTCTATATCCTATGTAATAAATATTATATTTTAAATCATATTTTATTGAATAAAAGATTATATATAGATCAAAACTGAAGATGTATCAAAATATTACTTTGAAATTATTTAGAGTGCAGTTTTAAATTTGAATTCAATGGATTTTATTTTTTGAACAACAAAATATCAAACAGAAGATTATTATACTTTGATAGATACTCAATATTAGCATAGTAAAACGTTTTATTCATGCTATTTTTACTCATTTATTATTACTCTCAAATGATAATATGAATGTCTCAAGAGAAATGTCCTTCTAAATGTTTCTTCAATATCTCGGCCAAATTACGACCCAGATACCTGAGTTTTTTTTAGAAGATAGTCCATGCAATTCTCTGCAAAACCTCATGAAAAGAGTTGTTCGAGTCGTTAATATCTGGTGAACACTGCAATGCTCTAAAATGACACACTTTCAAAAAATGAATAGTTCATTTTTTCTAGAAAATCAGACTTGAAACCCAATTAAAATGCAAATTTTCTGTGTTTTCAAATATGCTGTTCCTAAAAGAGCTTAAAACAAGTTATCTAAGGTTTCAACGGTCAATCCTCAACAAAAAAACGCGTTGAAATCATCGATCGTTCTTGTTATGTATCTCAAGCATTGCAAAAAATATTTTCCATGCACTTAATAATAAATTTGAATATGTAATAATTTTTCACTTATGATAAAACAAATTCAAATTGGCATGAACCTTCACGCATGATTCTCAAAACATGAACAGAGCGGAATAGAAAAAAGGTTTTGTTCAATTAAAATTTAGAGTATGTCAAAAAAGGTATTCGCTGAAGCGAAAGCGCTTTTCATGGGCTAGAAAATGGCCTATTCAGTCTCTTTGTGTATGGTAGAGTGATACAAAATTGTTAATATGAAAACGAGGGTATTGAACGTGTATCGTTTTGGAGTATCACACTGTTAACCGAATATAATTCTATAGTTAATCATGTGAACAGCTCTCTTCATGCGATTTTGTAGATATTAAAATTAAACAAAACAATCACTGACAATATCAAATCGCTCTTCAACAAAAATTAAGATTTTTACACATTTCTAGAATTTAACATTTATTAGCTGATAAACAAAATTAGAGAATGATTTTTGACATGAAAATTTTCTATTAATTTCTATATTATACGTGTCAAAATATTTATATCAGGTACAAAGAAAGGTCAACCATAGCTTATTCTGGATGCCTGCTTGATTTTATTAGTTCAAATTATGAACTAAATAATGAGGCTAAAATTTAACTATAATTATATAAAGTTTGAATACATCAAACAGAACAAGGAGACTATAAATAATTCAATGACGTCAACACATCTAACAACTCACTTGACACTATAGGTCATATTCAGTTGATATTTATTTAAAGTTTCCCACTAAAAAATCTAATTGCTAAGTTTGATTATTAATATTCGACAGTGGGATTTCTAATTGTCCAAATTTCGTTGAAGAATACATTTGCGAACATATAGTTGGCATGTCAATAGAATGAAATTCTGCAAACCATCAGCAGCAGCAAAGGATATACTTTTAGAAGAAAAAATAAAAAGAGGGCGATCTAAAAAAAACAACTAAAGTTTTATTGATACAATAATTGTGCAATTAAATTTTTCTCTTAGTTATTTACCAATTTTCATTGAACAAAATTCATATAGAAAGTTACATTTTTTTACTTCGATTTTGAATAAAATACTGCAGAGAAAAATCTTTTTTATTTGGAATTCTCTTGAATAAATTAATTAGAAAAACTTGAGTTTTCTATTCAGCATTCAAGTATGTGCCTTTATAAAAGACAATTATTTATATGTTCTTTTAATTTATATTTATTATAATATGTAATATAATTAAACTATAAATAAGAAAAGTTTTTAGAATGAACCAGAAAGAAAAACATAATCTGTAAGTTGAATAACAAGGATTTTAATGATACAGAATTATTTAGTGCTAATGAATACAGTATCGAAATAATCTTCTGTATTTATCTATAAGAAATTGTAAGAGAAGTACTGACGTCATCTAAATAAAATAATCTTTGTAATATATCATATTAAGATGGGACTATAAAACCTATAATCAAGATTTAAATAACAATTTCGATTATCTATGTAAATATTTTTGCATTAAAACAATTATAAAATAAAATTAATCACTGATACAGTACTCATTTCCTATTATTATATTTGTTTGGACTAATCTTCTTAAAATAGAGATAGAGGTGTAAGGCGCTGCCGTTGATATCTATCTGAGTGCAAATTTCCCTTCTTTTATATTAACCTTTATTTAATTTGCAACATTGTTAATGATTCTCTGCTGATCTTAATTTGATTTTTACATTTTTGTGTCGTACATACACTATGAAAGAATGGAATAGTTTATGACTGAGATATTGAAATAAATATATTTTTTAATTTAGAAAAAAAATTTCTTTCTTTTAATTTTCTAGCCATTTCCGCCGACGACGAGCGAAAAAATTTTAACACCTTCAAGCCGCCATCGCTGATAAACTTTTTGACTTCAGTCGCTGCCGCCGGCAGGCAAAAAAAATTGATATTTTTAAGCTGTCATCGACCGACTCATCAACTTACACTTCTAGATAAAGAAGAGTATTCATTAATATAATGACACATTAAATACAGACATAAAATGCACTTTATTTACTGAGATCTACTCATTAATACTACAGCTAAAATAAATATCATTCCATTAAACCATGGATTCGAATATTAGTTTAAGCACAACAACAATATCATCAGGTTTTCAATGGACAACATCATTTAATGTAAATCGTATCAAGTTTATCATACTTTTACTACTTCAACTTCTCTCAATTCCTTGTTTTCTTTGGATTTTCTATCAATTTGCTCGTCAACGACAACTTCGACAAACTCTCAATCATCATGTCATTCTTCTTCTTCTGATCATCTCTTTTCTTTTTGTTACCATTGCATTACCTCTCACCCAAGCATTTCTCTACACATCTTATGTTTATCCTACAAGTGACATATTTTGTTCATTATGGACTTGGATTCATTATTCACTCAATATTATCAATATGTTTCTCATGGCATTTGCAAGTATTGAACGAAATTGGCTTATTTTTCATCCAAGTATAGTTCAAAATAGACGAGGAAAAGTTCTTTTTCATTATGGTCCATTAATATTTTGTCTATTATATCCACCTCTATTTTATATCGCAGCAATATTCATCTGGCCATGTGAAAACTATTATGATTACACACAATTATTATGCACATGGCCTTGTTATTTTTATAATTATATTTGGGCACAAGTTGATCTTTTTTTTAATAATTATACACCATTATTGTCTATACCTTTGTTTTGTACAATAATTTATATCCGAGTATTAATTCAAAAACATGAAATGAAACAAGAAATGTTTAAATGGAATCGAGATAAAAAAATGATTCTACAATTATGGGCAATATCAAGTTTATATTTAGGTATGTGGATGCCATTACAGTTAACTGGTTTAATAAATACATATTGGGATCCAAACTTTTTATTACAAGCACAAGTTGATTACATTTATTTATTTCCTTATTTAATTCATTTGATTTATCCATTTATAGTATTACTTACATATAGAAAAGAAATGCTTTCTTTTAGGCGAAATGCAGTTGTTCCAGCTATAACACTTACAGAGAGAAGAAATATGCCTACCATGTTCAAATAATAATAGGAGTTATTATCAGACTTTTTAAAAACTATGTAAAGTAAATATATGTATTGTATTTTGTTATGTTAAATAAATGGTTTACAATAAATATAATATACCATATAACTTCAGAAAACTGTATATTAACTTATTACGAAATAATAGAAGTCTTACGACAAAAGATTAGAATGACTTAAGACAAATCCTACAAAATGTAATGCAGTACTCTCTCTTGTTCCTCATTATTCTGTAAAAATAAAATCAAACAAATTAGAAATATATTTCGATAGTTGTACTCTTTGATGATCAAATACTTGTAGTCACGCGAATATAAAATTATATTCTCTTAATGAGATGATATTCCACACGTTTTACATATTATCCGCTCATGTAGATGCCAAAAATAATGCGAATAAAATATCATACTAACATATAACCGTTTGAGACCTACGATTTAATCTATGGACGAAACCTCTTAAAAACTTGATATTTTGTATGAGCATTGAGTATTATCAACTCTTCCATTGATACTTTAAAAAAATATTTTAAGTCATTTTTAACTGTTAGCCATACGCCCCTACGAGAATGATGAGAAATATTTAAGCCACTTTCTTGGAGGTGTACGAACGGGAGCCTAAAAACTGACTCAGTAGGGTTTTTAATCTTGCACAAATATGTCCCACCGGGACTCAAAGGGATAAAATGAATCAAGTTCTTGTCGAGATGAGATATGGTATAAAGAGACAATGATTCGTTTTTATTTAATTATGTTTCTTATTGACTATATCATAAGATGATTTAAACTGAACATGATATTTCTATTAATATCTATTGTATCAGTAGTATTAGAGAATTATTTGATAAATCTATAATAGGATTTTATACATGCAATTAAAACTTTATTTGAACTTTTAGTAAATATGAACTTACGACTCATGCCATCGAGTTCAATTACTAACAAATCCAAGAAGAATCTTAACTTTTATTAACTAGTGATATTAATTGAATTAGAGAAGGGTCTGTTACTTGAAAACGATCAGTAAAATCAGGTATTATGTCCATATGTAGAAAAGAATGGTTATTCTAATTAGTAAACAATACGAAAACTAGATAGTTATGTTGTTTTTACGATAATTGTCTACAGACTCATCAGTTGCCAGAATTAATAATTGAATACGAGAAACGAATTATTGACACGAAAAATATATAGTACCTATATACCACCACGAAATATTGATTAAACAAATAATTATATAGGATTTTCATTCTATTACTATTAGCAAATTAACTGCTGATAAGTCTATCGACTCGAAAGCTATTGTTTTTTCATTATCGTAAAACCACATAGCTATTTATTAATTTTTTTGTCAAGTTAATATCAAAATCCTATATTTATTCGTATTTCGTTAGTAAACAAATCCAAAAATATATTAATGGTTCGGAATGATTTTATTATAAGATACATTCAAACAAAAATAATGCACACACTTTTCTAAAATATTTCTATTTAAAAGCACCTCATTTTAACATAAAAAAAATCCTATTTACTCAAAACATTAAAAAGTAAGCGACATCTATGCCTGAACAATATATTCTCACCGTATCTACTTCTCAATAGTCAATCTGGTTTTTTTTGCATAAAAATACAAACAGTCGATTACTTTTGTGATGTAATAAGTAAATAACTATTTAAATTTTTATTTATATATCCATAAAATTTAACATTTGTAAATAATGGGTGAAATCTTTTGATTGTATTTAAATCATTTGATAAAAAATTATTTAACGGTATTTTTGTTTTAAAATTAATTAAATTTGGTACATGTTGCATTAATAAATCAGCTAGAGAATTAAATGGAAACTCGATATTTAATTCATTTTGATCGATAATAAATATGAAATTTTCTAAATTTGGTACATTTGATAATAACCATTCAATATGATCATACCAATCATCTTCAATCGAATAGAAATGAATATATAGACAACGAAGAGACGTATGTGAATAAATAATATTCGAAGATAATTTAAATGATAAATTTCGTAGACGTATTATTCTTAGATCTACTAAATTTGGACATGCATTGAAGATGTATTGATATATATTAGATTTCCATGTCGATGGTGAAATCGTTAATTGATGAAGTGGTGAACATAAATAAGAATGAGATTCATCTAATGTTATTCGATCGATTTGACAAATTCGTAAATAGGAAAATGCAGGTGAAAATATTAAACGACATAATTGTTTGGAATGATCGGAAAAGAAGAAATTTGAAATATATAAATATTCAAGATAAGGTAAAAGTGATGGTTGAATGGCATTACATTGATTTTCTGTTGGCATAGTTAATTTTAACAGACGGATATTTGAATAATATGAAAAATCAATAAAGTCATCATGTTTAATAATTAGTTTCGAGATTTGCGAAGCAAAAAAAGGAATATTTCGTTTATCATCCCAATCTTCTTGTAATATAACATGGAAATTGTTTAAAGATTTAATTATAAAATTGAAACGACGATTTAAATTGAAGAATGCTTTGTATAAATCATAAGGAGAAATATATTCGAATATTTCGATTAATAATTCATTTGAAAATGTTTCTATAGTTGATATGGCATTATTCATTATTTTGAAAAAGAATTTATCAAGAAATATAATTTCTGTTAAATAAAGAGTTTGAATAATGATGGAAAATAAAAGAATAGTTGATATCTCATGACATGAAAGTTGTTGTCTATCACAAAAATATTTTATATGTCATAATTTGGCACATTGGAGAACGATGCAAAGTATTCTATGGATTGCGACATTGAGCCGAAGGGAATACGTTATGTCATTGGAGGAGAAGGAAAAAAAAAATAACTCATGTAGTGTATGTGTTCATTCATTTGTACTCACATAGTAAGGGTCAAGGAGAAGAATATGTTGGTCGCCAATGCAACTGATGAAGAGGAAGAACAAAAAAAAAAAGAATAGACACAAGTGACGCTTGCATACTGTCAGTTACTCATAATACATTTTAACTATTAAATACTCGAGTTACGTACCTGAATTCATATGCAATTAGTGTTATATAAAATTGATCAATTTAGGAGTATTTTCAGTATACTCTCATGAGTAATAATCGTTGAAAGTTGAACAAAATATAGATTTCAATGCAGTTTGAAGGTTTTTTAATAAACTCATCATATATGAATATATTAGTAAGTTTTTATATGAAAAAGGTACGATTATAAATAATAGTCATTGGTGAAAATGAAATCATGATTGTAGTAACTGATTCAAGTATATTAACGCTCTATTATCATTTTTTTAAACAATAAATCTAGAGTGAAAGTTTGATTCTAAATATCTTTGTATAAAACTATACATACAACAAATAATCGTTTACAATCGTAAGTAGACAATAAATAGTAATTATTTGAATTTATCGCAATAAAATACTATTGTACATATGTTTATCGTCAACATCGATAACGGATTAACATTTGAGGGAAAAGGATTACTTTATACTGTCTCGAATACTATAAAATAGATGTAACAGGTGTCGATCGATAGAATCTTACTTTCAAAAATTAAAGAAAAAGAAAATTTTCTTTTAATCTACTAATACTCTATCTGATATGTATAATAGTATACTAATCATAGCTATGAATAAGTGAAAATAAAAAAAATCTCAATATTATCTGGTATTACAAAAATATCATGTTATCCATCGGAAGAATTTTTCGAACTAACTGTATTTTGTAATGTAGTCATACATCAATAATACTACCATTTCATATTTTACACACAGGAATAAATGTATTAATAAATGCTTTTCTATTACAAAGTTTCGACAAATTGTCATCTATAATAATTTGATCATAATGTACGACATCGAGATAGGATGCTATTGATTATGTCTTCTATTTTTAAATATCAGCTGTCAAGAAAAATAATTTTATTCAAAAAAATATTGAATACCCTCATAAGAGCTTATATTATAGAATTCTAACGTGAATTAAGATCATGATTTTGATTGACTGGATGCATACGAAGAAACTTCGATCTTTACAATGACTTTAATAATAAAGAACTAAATATAGTTTTATTTTTGATTATGAAATTACGTGAGAAGAAAAGAAAAATGTGAAAACTTACGAAATTATCATATAAGACTATATATACTAGACCACAAGATAAGAAAATGCAGAAGAATGAATCAAAATAGTATTCGTAAGTAAAAAATTTATTGTTATTTTAATACGAAATTTGAATTTTATTTTCGAAGAAATCTTATCATCAACAATTATTAAAACTAATTCATTGAATTCATTAAAACTCTCACCAAATGACTGGATAATACCATCAACTAGTACCATAAGTTGTATCTATTTTTATGATATTCAACAATGGTCATTATATAAAAAACAAACCAATGATATTTTTATGAATATTGAACAATTAAAATTAAGTTTACAAAAACTACTTGAATATTATCCTTTATTAACTGGTACACTTAAATTATTCGATAAAGATAATAAAGTATTAATAGAGAAAAATAATAATAAGAATGATGAAATTTTATTTGTTGCAGCAAAAATTAATATGCTATTAAGAGAATTACCTTTATCAATTGAGAATTATACAGATGCAAAAATAATACCAGAATCTCTTCAATTCATTAATGTAACTATAATTCGAATACTTTATTTCATATTCGTCATACTCGATTTGCATGTGGTAGCGTAGCACTTGGTATTACATTGAATCATCAAATTGCTGATGCACATTCATATTTTCAATTGATTAAAGATTGGACACAATTGTATAAAAATTTACAATATCAACCAAATGTTTGTCATCAACGTTCACTTCTTGAACCAACTGTAGAAGAAATACAACTATTAAAAAATTCAAATCCAGATTTTAATTATCGTAGGAGTCTTTATTTTAGAGAAGAAATCTCTTCATCAGTACAACAAACAAAACAAACTATTATAAAAATATTTCGATTTACAGCTGATGAACTCAATCGTATGAAAACAGATGCTATTACCCATCTATCATCTGATGTAACTTATCTATCAACATTTGAAGTTCTTACAGCTCATCTCTATCAACATGTAATGCTTGCTCGTAATTATACAACACCATCTATTACAAAACTATATATTTCAACAAATATTCGTCCACGTTTAACACAATCATTCATTCCTAATACTTATTTTGGAAATGCAATTATGCTTTCGTATTTAGAAATGAATACATTGGATGTAATAGATAAAAATTCTATTAGTTTATTAGCTAGTAAAATACATAAATCTATTGAAGAAAATACTGCGAATGATATACGAACTACATTAGCTTGGAATTTAGATGAAACAGATTTTACTATTTCTGCTTGGAATAAAATGGGAATATATTCCAATGCAGAATTTGAATCGAATGTTCATCCATGTCGAGTTATACTACCACAAGATATGAAAATGAATGGTGCAGCTATTTTATTATCAACTGAAGAAAATGATGGTAGTATTGATGTATATTTAGGATTGGATGTTAATGAAATGAAACAATTAGAAGAGAACTTAGATTTTAGAAAATATAGTAAAAAATAATGATATTTTCTTTCTGAAATAATCACAGCAAAAAAAAGAAAGGTTATGACATACATACAATCCTTCACATAAAAATAAAATAACACTGACGTCAAATAAACTTTGTATATTTATCTTAAATTCAGTATACTTCATCCAGAATATGTAATAATGAATCATAAGAACTTTACATTAAAACCTTTATCTGAAATCGATTAATATTATAATATGGATTTATTTTTTTATACGTCTATTCTGATAAGTATAATCCATTGTTTTGTATTCAAGATTTTGTCATACTTCTATGTGAATATGAACTTGAGAAAGAAAAAAACAGAACAGAAAAACGAAAAAAAAATCCATCGGAGTTATAAACGTCAAATAAAAAACATAGGCGATGCTGGTCTAAACATAGAAGTTATTACTCATCGTGTACTGTAAAACAGTATGAAAAGAAAAGAATATTTTTCTTTCAGCGTTGTTTGAAGGAAAAAAACGCATGGTAGTAATCTTATCAACACTATTTCATACATTTTCTTTTCTTTAAAAATTGATATATTATATGGCTGAAAACAGTAAAGATTTATCAAATATCGATTTCGATAATGATTGGAAATGTTATTGTCAAGAATCAAATAATAAAACAAATGAAAAAACTATCCTGTCAAATGCATCTACAGACCAAGATTGGTCGCCTATTGAATTACCACATATTATTAATACTAGCCAAAGTATAAACAATTCTTACAAATGGTGGTATTGTAAACAATTTGATTGGACATCAATAGATCAACAATCTAAAGAACAAATCTATTTGGATTTCGAATCATCTGATATTCAAGATAATAAATCTGAGATATCTGCTACTATATGGCTTAACAATACAGAAATCTTTTCAGATTCGATATCATTACTAAAACATCCAATTGAATTGCCTTCAGAATTATTACATAGTGAAAATAAACATGGTAATATGCTGGTTATTTGTTGTGTAAATACAAGTCTTTCTCTTCATGTTTGTCTTCTTATTCAAGCAAAAATTATTTATGCAACTGGACAAGTAATGAGTGATGAAAGAAGTCTTGATATTTCTCAAGATTCAGATAAACAAAAAAATAATGTTCTGGATTATACGGTTAGTGTTGATGATGCTGATGGACGTATTGATGTTAAATTTAATCCAAAACTAAAATCAAAATCTCTATCAACACAATTATCAACATTAAAACAACCTTCACAGTCAATTATCGATGAAAACCAAAGCACTGAAAATATTGATGAAGATCTTCTTGTACCTCGATTAGCTATTGTAATACTTATAGTAGGGACAAGAGGTGATGTGCAACCATTTATTGCGTAAGTTAAATTGTATTCTATAAATTTTGTAAAAACTCTAATTTTGTAAAATTTAGTCTAGGTCAAGCACTTCGAGCAGTTGGTCATCGTGTTCGAATAGCAACACATGAAACATTTCGATCATTTGTTCGTGGTAATGGTTTAGAATTTTATCCTTTAGCTGGTGATCCAGCTGATTTAATGTCATTTATGGTAAAAAATTCAGGTATTATTCCTTCAATGAGTAGTATTATTGAAGGTGATGTTAGTAAGAAACGTCGTTCTCTTGCTGATATTCTTGCATCAACATGGTTAGCATGTATATCTGATGATGATGAAACAAAAGCATCATTTACAGCTGAAGCTATCATTGCAAATCCACCATCATTTGGTCATGTTCATTGTGCAGAAAAATTACAAATTCCTTTACATATTATGTTTACAATGCCTTGGTCACCTACAACTGCTTTTCCACATCCATTAGCAAAAATAGATAGTTCTATTGGACCAAAAGGAAAAATTAATTTATATTCATATGATGTGATTGAAATGCTGGTAAGTTAATAATTAAAAGATAAATAATTTCATTTTAATTTTTTTCTAATGCTTATCGTTAAGACTTGGACGGGTATGCGTGATATTACAAATAATTTTCGTAAGAAAACATTAGGATTAAGAGAATTACATACACGTCAAGCAACCAATATATTAACTGATGAGTGTGTACCCCATACTTATTGTTGGTCACCGTCACTCGTTGCAAAACCTAGTGATTGGGGAGCACATATTGATGTTTCTGGTTTTTTCTTTCTCAATCTTGGCACTGCTTATACTAATCCACCAAAAGATTTACTTGAATTTCTTTGTATCAACGATGATGGCAGCTATAAAAATCCGAAATTACCACCACCGATCTATGTCGGTTTTGGTTCTATCACAGGTCATGATTCTCGTCGTATTCTTAAAGTTGTTGTTGATGCTGTTAATTTGACTGGATATCGAGTATTATTGTCTGGTCTCGCTACAGATACAGATCAATTACCTTCTAATATATTTAGAATTGGTAATGTACCACATGATTGGCTTTTTCAATATGGTATGTATCATTTTCTATTCTATTTGAACATATCCATTCATTTCATATCTTCTTTATAGTATCAGCTGTATGTCATCATGGTGGAGCAGGTACAACAGCAGCTGGTTTACGTGCTGGTAGACCAACTATAATTGTACCATTTTTTGGTGATCAATTTTTTTGGGGTAATGTAATTGAGAAGAGTGGTGCTGGTTCACGACCACTTCCAGGAAAGTCGATTACGGCTGATCAATTAGCTGATGCTTTTCGTTTTGTACACGAATCAACAACATGTACTGCTGCCGAACGTATCCGTGACGCTATTTTAAAAGAAGATGGATGTGCAGCAGCAGTATATTCATTTCACGCTAATTTACCTTTAACACATATGCATAGTGATTTAGAACCAACATTTGCTGCTTGTTATCGTTTGGATAAATATAATATACAAATATCACGTCCTGTTGCTCAAGTACTTGTGGTAGCAGGTGCTATAGAAGAATCTGAACTTCGTCCTCATATAACACGAGAATGGAAATTTGAACATGATAATCGTTTTCATTTGCCTGGTCATGGTATTATTGAACATTCTGAAAAAGCTATTACTAGTATGTTTACTGATACTGCTGACGAATTAAAACGAGCTGTGAATAATAATAGTGCAACAAAAGGAACATTAGAAAGTGTTGGAACTGTTGCTAAGGGTGTTGGCTTAGGTATAAGTCATTTAACAATTGGATGTTTGTCATTATATGGTGAAATAACTGATACACTCAATGTTATGACATCACTCTATGATCCATATAGGTAAAACTATTTTGAATAAATTAAAATACATCTACATGATATAATATGAAATATATTGTAGTGCTCCAGAAAATCGTCAACGACCACGAGTTACAGATTTTAAATCAGGTGCTAAAGCAGCTAGTTTAGCGTTAATTAATGGTTGGAAAGATGGTTTTACTGGTATTGTCACACAACCTCGTGCTGGTTATGAACGTCATGGTGCCTTGGGTAGTGTAGCTGGATCATTAATAGCTACAGCTAATATTGCTGTAAAACCTACAGTGGGCACACTTTCATCAGTTACTTATCTAAGTCGAGGTGCATATGCTAGTGTTAGAAAAACAATAGAAACTTATCGAAATGAAGGACGACATATTTCATCAAAACTATTCGATACGTCATCATCGAATGAAGGTGATGAATCATTACAGAAAAATAATGATGATGAAGAAATCTCTACGATTATTAAGACAGCTGCAACTAGATCAGGTTATCATCCAAAAGTATGTCAACATATTATTCAGGAATTTGAAAAAATTAAGCAAGAACAATCAACAAATCCATCAATCAATAAAAGAAAGGGTATATCTGATCTTGTCTCCAAGAAATAAGACTTCCCAAGCTTTATTACTTATATATAGATATTTTAATCTATAATTATAATGAAACTATTAACAAAAGAAAAATACTAAATAAAATATTTTATTTTACAAAAAAATCATTATAATGTACTTGTGTCTATCATAAAAATACGATGTCTTTTCGTTGAAATAAAAAAGAGTTAATGCTAGAATATTGAGAAGATCATTTATTCTGGCACACTCCTTAGTAAATTCTTCATAGTAAAATTATTATTTACTAATAACAATAATTAAAACAAAAACGATTGGTGGAGTTACACACAATATACAATATACCACTGTACATATACAACAACAAGCACTATACATCTTGCTACTGATATCTTTTGTGGGTTGTTGTATGACATTTGGAGTATAAGTTGATGTATATGTACTCGAAATTGAGGGACGTGAAGTATTAAGTTCTTGTGCCAGTCTCGCTATTGGTTTAATATAAAATTTTCTCATCCATTGCATTGTATAGGTCATAATTTTGTGAACTTCGCGTATTTTCCCAGCTATAACAATTGAATCAGCTGCTAATAGTTGTTGACGAACTTGATTTATTGTATAAAATTCATTGGAATTTTCATTACATAATTCATCACTATGAAAGAAAATTCGATTATTGAATACATCAGGACTAAATGTATAGCATACAAGTAGAAGTTGTTTTTGTTCATCACGAGATAAATAATACCATTTTTGGTAGTTTGTGAATCGTTGAATCTCTGGATCACGACTGCAATCAATTACCACACACACACAATTTAAATAATACATTAAACGTGCGACGTCATTATTTGGTACTGTTACTGCTGTACCTATATATTCTAGGCTAATTTCGTTCTCATGAAAAACAATAGCCATTTTCTTTTATAGGATGTATAAAAAATAATTTAACAGAAATATTATTCGAAATTACATTGTCTTTATCACTCTGTATATATATGTGTGCTTTTTCCCAGGATGAAATCTTTTGGATTCTGCGAAAATTAATGTTTTTCTTCTTTCATATCTATGACGAAACCCGTTTGATATGTAAGAGATAAGAATTCGTTTTCATGTGAGTTATATTTCCAACACTCCTTGCGACTGTCATATGACATTCATTATCTTGAGGGTGTGGGTGTGTTTTATGCTAGTTACTATTGATCTGCGTGTGTAAAAATGAAATGATTAATCGAATAATAGCAAGAGAAACATATAACTGAGCCGTTCAATATCAGTACAAAGTTAACATTTATATATTAGTTAATGTTGAGAAATCTTTTCACTGAAAAACTATAATCAAACTATGTGGAAAATGATTGATCTCGTTCAATTCTTCTATCAGAACAAACTGTATGAAGGAAAGAAAAATAAAGTAAAACTTGCATTTTGCTTCCTCATCATTCTGCAGGATTCATTTCTGTATAATGATGACAGTTTTCTAACGTAGCATTAACATTCAATAGAAATTCAAAGCACATCCAGAGAATTTTGTCTTTTATGACAGGCTCGTGAGCTACCTTAAGATTGATAGGATTGTCAATAAGAACAGCTAAAATATTAATGTTATTAATAAATTAATTAATTTCCAGGGCTGTCCTAATATTGACATATGACACAAACAAGGTCATATTATAATCTACATCGCACTTTTTTCATATCTTATTTTCCAATACGCAAAAACAGAATGTTCTCAAAAAGGATATTTTGTTAATTGATACGGAAAAAAATCATTCTTAAGTGACTGTCAACTGAAATGAAATAATCTCAGCAATTAATTTCTCGATAAGTTACCTTTCTTCTAATGAAAATCATTACGATAAATATATATTATATTACAAACATATATGTTAGATTTAGTCATATGAATTTCATTAATTTAACGATTACATTGACAATAATTAGTTGAAATAAGAAAATAAAATATATGTAACGATATAATAAAGAGTTAGTCATTTTCATTAGGATCCATGTTTGTATTGAATGATTCTGGATTTTCTGGACCAATTCGATTATTTTTAATAGCACAACAACAACATTTCCATAATTGCCAATATTTTTTTAACAAAATTGATTTTACTTGACGACGAAAACGTGATGAAAATATTACGTAAATGTAAAAGCTAATCTATAATAAATGTGAATATTATAAATATAAAAAAAAGAAATGAATTTACCGTATAATTTAAGTTAAATAAAAAAAAGAGAATAACATAAATTAATCGTCCTCTTGCATATTCCATTGGTTTACTTGGCAAATTGGGAACATTTGTAGTATAGATACGATAACTAAGATAAGGCAATGATAAACAAACAAGAATTATGACACGTATAGCAGCCATTGCTGTCATTTGTCGATCTAATCGACGTCGAACAATTGTTAGTTGTCGACGAACTATACGCCGAACATTACGAAAAGCTAAAAATCCAAAAAACGATGCAATAAAAACAGGTATAAGACCGGCTAAAAGTGGAAAACTAAAGTATGTTGTATATTGAAGATATGTAGGATTCGATATATTGCATAGTAATAATGATTGAATGTTGTAAAACAAGCAAAATATAATAGAATGAATGATCCAAATGCAAACAGATGTACCAACAAGACACCGAGCTGTTTTTATGGTAAATACTTGTCTGAAACTGAATCGATTGTGTGTTGAAAAAAATTGGTCAATAGCAGCAAAAGCTACTGTATAAGATGATGATAGTACTAGTAGCTGAGCGGAAAAAAAACGAAATCTACACCAGATAAGAGAACGACCTGTTGCATCATCTCCATATATTGATGTTAGAATAGTGATGGTAAAAACAATCAATCCATAGAGAAAACTGAAAAGCGATTCAACCGTTAAATAGAATGCACATTGATTGTTTCGAAAACATTTCAGTTGAGTGAATACAAAGATATTTAAGAAATTGCCAATAATACTCAATGTAAATGTAATATGACCAGTGGATATGGAAAAGTTATTAGCGATTGCAAGGATTTCTGTAGACATGGCTGTGCACTAATGTTTTTCTTTGAATGGCATATCCTTCATCATTTATTCATTTTCCTTTCTACCTGAAGGCTTAATATTTAATATTTTAAAATGACATAAGCTAAAAAAAAACATTATTACTCTGCATTCTCTAAGAACTTTTTTAAATTACACATCTATATATTAATAAAATTAGTTTTCATAAGTAATGTTACCTTATTTTGAACACTTCGAGGACAATTCTCCGCTACATAGTTTTATATATGAATTTATTAATTCTAAATATCATAGTATAACAATATAGAGACAATCACTGATATAATATACTAACGGATATTTTATCTTTGAACACAAGTAATAAGATTTATAAAAGCTGTTTTTTCTTATTATTCCATCATCGTTTCTGATTATAAAAGTCGATCTTCAGAATAATTAAGTTTTTGACACACTTTTTTCAAAGGCCTCTGGTGAAAGAACTCATACCGGAATACTCAAAAAGTACTCACGCTAGAAAATGTCACGACAACTCATGAGTACTTATGATGTTTGAGTACTCGTATGTTGTATTTATCATGAACGTTAAGTGTTCGAGTACTTATGTAAAACTGTTGAGTATTTGAGTACTATAAAGAACTACTCGTTTCTAATTTTACGAGTATTCTATTGTTACATTTCATATACGACAATATTCATATTAGTTTTTAATTTATTGGTATAATCTGATTTTTGATTATGTAACAGTAACAAGATTAACATAATACAGAATATCAGTAATAGAAACAAGATAAAACATGATACGATATTCAATATGAAAAAATGAGGAAAAAGAGAGTAAAAAATCTTTTCCAATGATATAAAAGATTAAATCATCTCTATTTTAATATAACTAGTTTGGCTTAATATAATCATGGCAAAAGATACAAAAAATATTGAACAAAAAGGAGCAGAGAAAAAACGTTTTCATATTTAATTGCATTATGCAAACTTTACTTTCATTTTATTTTACTTTTTTACATTTCATATTTGAAAAGGCATAACTGTTTTATTGAGTTTTGTTCCAAAAAATATATGAGTACTCTAGCGAGTACTTATACGACCACTTGCGAGTAAAGTTAAACAAGCAACGACTAGATCAGTACAACTACGAGTACTCAATCAGTAAGATTACTCATTTGAGTAATCTGAATATTCATGCTGACAAGTCGTACTCGCTTGATGAGTAGTTTTACTGGGGTAATGGTCGACATATATTCATACTTTCAGACAAAGCCAAACAAAATCATGTGCACAATGAATCAATGTTTCTATTAAATTTTATCTTTTTTTTTCGCGGAATGATTTTATGTTTTGCAAGTAACATACATACACTTTTCACTTTTCGATGACCAAAAACAGTGTTTATGTCTTTGAAAGATCTTTGAAGACGTGCCATGCTATGTGATTCATGAACAAAAAGAATAAAAGATGGATGTTTGTTGTATTTTTATCATGAGAATCTTCGCTGAGTATACATCGAACATTTCTAGTCAAAGAATCATAAGATCATTCCTAGTGTAGGTTAGCGTTGTCAAAAATGACAAGTCATATAGTTTATACCTAATTGAAACGTAGAAGTCAGAAAAAATTATAGTTTATTGTAATTTGTCTTGTCAGTAAATCTGTTTAAGTTATTGTAAACTGCTCTTTTTTATCTCATTTCAAAATGTCTATAATTTCACTTTTTTGCTCTATATTGGGTATCATTTATTAAAACTCAAATTTTCTTTGATTATGTAGTTTTTACAAGGAATTATTTCATTGGACAGCAGTTTCCAATTTATTTATATTTGCTATGCTATTTTAAAATTAGTCATATACTCATACACTCATATAAAGATCACGAATTATAATATTATAATTACCATAATTGATGGTAGATAAAAATCATGCATGATTAAGTCTTTTTCTTTTCTTTGTTAATGACAAATGCAATTTTTAAAACGTCAATCTCTATCATGTACATCATGATCACATGTAGGCTTTCACTTGAAAACTAATTTAAACATCTTTTAAATTTCATGTCTACTCATTAGTGATCAACATGCATGTAGTCAAACTTGTATAATTCATGAAATATTTGATCATATAAAAAAAACTTTTTGCCCAATTACAATTCTCAAATAACAAACACCACTTAACAATGTTTTTCTCTGTGAAAGCAAATAAAATCATTCTTTTTAGCAGCCTATTTCGATATTTGTTTTTCATAGCAACATAAAAAAACAGTTAAATAAAAAAACAAATTTTCGCAAGGAAGTAGACATCTTTAAAAAGAATCGTTTTTAATCATTACTTCGCTAATAAATTTTAAAAACGCGCTCCAATTCGAACCATTCACGAAGCAAACAATGAATGAAGAAAAATCAATAACAAATGCATCTGCAGTTCCCAACGGTGTAGTTTAAAAGATGCAGAATGCTCGTCTCATCTAGTTAGATGGTAACATTGACGAAACAAACGATGATTGTCAAAATACAATCACACAATTGCGATAGACTGTCAAAGACACCAATACATTTACAGATATCGATCAATGCTTTGAGTTCGTTGAAATAGTCGTCGAACAAAAGGCATGTATGATTGTATCTGGATTACTTGGACAACATTTTGTGCCTTTCGTGCACAATATGCCTCAAGTTTATTCGATTTATATTTTTCGTGACAATCGAAACCATGATGAATAATGGGTTAAAGATTGGCCCAAAATAAAGGGTGTCTTCACAGATATTACACCCATCTGTGAAGTACTCAAATCGGTAGCTCATCAATGTGACCCAAATGCTATTTCCATGAGTTTCGTGGAAACAAATAAAAAGTTGGATCAATCAGATCCGTCTTTTATGTACACCCAAATCATCAAAGAAACTCTATTAACCATCAAATTCAAACAAAACCACATTCAAGATTACATCGATTATTGTTGCAATGCTTATACAGGTAATACAAAAGAAATCGAAAATATTAAACAATTGGAAAGTGAATATCATGACAAAACACTAATTTACTAGTACATCTCTCAAGTGTTTTTTTATTCAATGCTCAATCATGCATTATGAATGATGGATGGTCATATCATCACACATTTGGGTTTCTTTATCGGTGACTTGCATCGACAAATTGAACAGCTACACCAAAAACAATATGCTGGTATAACCGCTGATGACACCTTCACCCTTTACCGAGGTCAAGGTTTATCTACAGCAGATTTTGAACAAATGATGTAAAATAAAGGTGGTCTTATTTCTTTCAACAACTTCTTATCTACCAGTAAAGATCGTGAAGTTTTCTCTACTTTTGCTGAAAGCAATCAGGCCAGTCCGGATTTGTGTGGAATACTTTTCGTTATGAAAGTAAATCCATCTCAATCAACAGCACCATTTGCTTCAATTGCTGGGATTAACCAGTTCCAAGGAGAAGAGGAGGTCTTATTTTCAATGAATAGCGTTTTTCGTATCCAGGATATTAAACAGATGGGTGGAAATAATCGTTTGTACGAAATTGACTTGATACTAACTGCTGACAACGATCCAGAATTAAGCAAATTTACTGATTACATTCGACAAGAGAGTTTTCCAGACAGTGAAGGATGGTACAGATTAGGTATGGTACTAATTAAAATGGGTCAGTTTGACAAAGCTGAAGATATTTATCAAGTTTTACTTAATCAAACAAAGGATGATGAAGATAAGCCACATTTTTATCATCTACTTGGCTCGATTAATAAAGATCAAGGAAAATATCAAGACGCACTTACATTCTATGAAAAAATCACTTGCTAGCTGCCGAAAAACTCTTCCTCCCAATCATCCTAATTTGGGGATGTCCTAAAATAACATTGGTTTAGTGCATTACAATATGGGTAATTATCCGGAAGCACTTTCATCTCATGGAAAAACCTTTGAAATTCAACAACAATCACTTCCTCCTAATCACCCTTTTCTGGCTATGTCCTACAACATCATTGGTAGTGTGCATTTCAGCATGAATAATTATCTAAAAGCACTTTCTTATTATAAAAAAACGCCCTTGAAATTCAACAACAGTCACATCCTTCAAATCATCCTGATGTTGCTATGTCCTTCAACAACATTGATGCAGTACTTGAAAAGATGGATAACTACTCAGAAGCCCGTATATTTCATGAACATGCTGCCCAAATTGGACAACGATCATTGCCCTCAAATCATCCTCACCTTCAAATGTATAGAAATAGCCTCGAACGTATAAAAAAATAAATAATAAATTGTATTACTATGGATTTTGTTTTATGGAAGAGAAAAAATAAACTTTTTAAACAAGAAAAGAATTGTTTCATATGCGCGCGTGTAGAGAAAATCAGATCTTGTTTAGATACAAATGAGTGGTAACACCCAGCGGTAAGGTAAACAATACATATCTAGAGACATGTATTGTAAAGAAAGAACTGTATTTACTCAGTACTATGAATTGTTCTTTCTGTTCCAATAAAAAGGATAATTTATGAGGGTAAATAAATAAACGAAAAACAGAAAAATAAATGATTTCTATAGATATTAATATACCGTGGAACAGATCAGTATATTAATATGAATAGAAAACACTTCTCAACTCAACTCAATTGAACGAAATGAACTGAGTATGAATATAGTATCATTAACGAGATGGGCAGTGAAAAGGTAAGACATAAGCATTGTGGACGTCTATATATTATTGTTCATGTAATTTAGAAGTGTCATTGTATTTGATTTATAACGAAGAAAATGTCAGTCAATATGATGATTTCATTCAAATATATAAATAAATGATATTTGAAAGAAATTATTGTTCTTTTATTGAATACAAAATCAATGTACATATATGAAAAAATACGATTAAATGATTTTGATTCAATATTATTCAACTTATGTTTAATATTTACTAACCAACCGAAAATATTTATACAAAATAGTAATTTCATTGTTAGTATTATTCATACTTTTACCTTTTAGTCATTGTAAAAACGATAGTGACGAAAACGTTTTTTAATAAACTTCAGATATAGAATTTTTTGTCACAAATTCCTGATGTTCTTTTTGCAACTAAAGGGTATATATATATATATGCAATCTCTATGGTAATATTAACTGTGCTTTAAAGAGTGATAATTGATATTTTTTATTATAATCATGTGTTATCCAGATTACAAAATAAAAAATTTACCTCTCATTGAACGCAACATAGATGTTTCTAATAGATAAATACGACTAGCCAAAACATTGCGTCTTAGGTTATTAGAGATATTTTTAGATATTCATGTCATTTATCAGAAAATGAAGGAAACTTAACTATCTAAATTTCCCCCACCACCTTTTATCGATGTTTTTTAATTCATAATGAAAGAAATTGAGAATATGAAAATTAGTTTTTTTGAATGCTAATTGTATAGCAGCGGCTTTTTTCATTTTAATAAAATAATACAATATTCTATACGAGAAAATTTATTGCAACGTTTGGACTTTTTAAATGGTGTGGGTGTGGTGTGGGTGTGGGTGTGGTGTGGGTGTGGGTGTGG